CAATTCTTGGCTCCGGGTGCCACAGAATCACTGGGAAGGCAGAGTGAGCGGCTCCTTGTGACCAAGGAAAGGAAAAGGAAAAGCCGGGGAAAAAGCTGAAGCTGTTGGATGTTCCAGAAATTTTACCTCAGAAGGCTCCTTGGAGCACAAATGAAGGGGGGGGGGGAACACCGTCTCATCTATGACTGGAGAAAAGGCAGAACTGCAAAATGATATAAAGTAAAGATGGAATAGAGAATGTAACATTAAAACACCACGTGGGACAAAAAGGAAGAGAAAAATATGAGGAAATATGCGTATGAAAATTAAGACTTGTGTAGATGTCACGGACCCGTTGGAGCCCGGGTCTGAGGAGGAGTTGGAGCTGAGGCCAATGAAGGGGAATGGCGCAGTCCCTATGGCCCGTGAGGAATGACCTGGGGACAAGGCAATCCCAGGTCCCTCGGGCCTCGGAAAAGTAGGAAGGGAGGAAGAGAGGGTGCAGGCTGACCGAGGAAGGTGGAGGCAGCGGATCGGAAGAGCTCCAGAGGCTAGCAAATGCCTCCCTGCCCAATACCTGAGAATGGAGAGGAGTCAGAGTCAGCACAGGGCAAACCAACTAAGTTGGAGGAGGACGCCCTGCCCCTCCTCAGGACTTTTGCAAGTCTTTGTTTTTGGATTGCACTCCCCTGGATTTGACTCAGACCTTTTGCCTTGCTTTGAGGACTGTTTTTGCCTTGCTTTGAGGACTGTCCTTGTCTTGTCCTAGCCTTGAAGACTTTGCCTTTAGAGGTGCTTTTGCTTTGGACCCACCTTGTTTTATGGCCTGCTGTTTGTCTTGCCCCAGCCCTAAGGACTTTGCCTTCGAAACTGCCCTTGTTTTAGGCCTGGACATTTGTTTTGTGTGCCTTGAAAACTGCCCTTGTCTTATGCCTGGACTTTTTCCTTGTGGACGTGCTGGGTAATCTATGGGCTGTTGTTGTTGGAACTGAGGGTGGAGCCTTACTGGTCACTGGAGGGCCATTTGTTGAACCATTCCCAAGAGAAATAAAGAACTGTCTAGAGGCCTGCCTAACCGTTACCACCTGGGTCATAACAGTAATGATCGTAATAATAATTGGAGGTCTTCTAGTCCAACCCCCTGCTCTGGCAGGAAATCCTATACAATTTGAAACAAATGATTGTCCAGTCTCTTCTTAAAAACTTTGAGTATTGGAGCATTCACAAGGCAGGTTGTTTCCCTGATTAATTGTTCTGTCAGGAAATTTCTCCTTAGTTCTAGGTTGCTTCTCCCTTTGATTAGTTTCCATCCATTGCAGTAGAACTTGACAGAAGTAAAAGAAAGGTCTTCAAAATTTAATATTGAAAGAGAAATTTAAAATTGAATTTGCTGCAGTGGAAATTCACTGAGTAGAGAAGCTATGGTGGGAAAGAGGAAAGGTTAACATAAAGAAAGGATGTAAAGGAAATATGTAGGCAAAAATAGCTGGGTCTTAAGAGTGGGAAAAGGAAGAAGAAAACATCTGTAATAGAAGATAACTAGCAAAACAGGAAAGAACCTATTTTTCTAAAATGTCATAAAAAAGGGGGCCAGAACTCAGGCAACTGAGCATGCGCAATTAATTGATTAATATTAACTGAGACACCTTGCATAAATTATCTCCTAATTTTAATGTAGATGTGATGTATGATTTAGTATGTAGCAGGAAATATGTAGGAGGCGGTCGGAAAGAGTGTAACCTCATAGTACCTCAGCCAATGGGGAAAGAGGAGGGATGTGGCGGCCGGGACAAGGGATGTATAAAGAAGGAAATATTTTGGGCTAAAACTTTGGAGAGAACCAAGCTTTGATAGCTTCTCTCCCCACTTATTGCAATAAACGAAACAAAAGGCCTTCACTGTGTCTTGGCTGGTTATTGGTCAGGCTGGTTATTGGTCAGGTACAAGGGGATTCACCCTGCGATGCCTTCCCGCTCAGTTGAAGACTTTGTTCCTGCCCTCCAACAAAGGCTGGCACTCGTGAGCGAGCAGCGCAACTGGACCATGGACGGTATTGGTTCCTGCGTCCTGCTGACTCCAATTCCACACTTTGGCCCCTAGGCATGCAAATGAAGCAGACACCCCCCCCCCATCAGAATGGAAGCTTCGGGGGGGGGGCATGATCTCTTTTGCAGAGAATTTGTGTTTGAACTTGCACAATATTACGGCACCCAGGAGCTTCCATTGTCAGCATGAAAATCAGTTCCAAACTGACTCTCCTCTTCCTCAAACGGAAAGAATCCGCGGCAGAAACAGATTGGCAAGGTGAGTCTGGCGCGGCAAGAAGGGAGGGGGAAGCATGAGGTTCCTTACTGGGTCGGGGAGGCTTGGGGGCCTGTTCCATCACTAGCCCCCCATGCCCTTTCCCACCGTGAGATACCTCAGTTGCACTCGCATGTGTCTTAACGAGCATGGGAGTGATCTTGTTCGAGGTACGAGATTCATTCTGTGTTTTCGAGTTACGAGTGGAATGTGCAGGCTCCATTATACTCGTAACTCGAGGACTACCTGTATGGTCTAATGCAGGGCTTTTCAACCGGTGGTATGTGTACCACCTGTGGTACATTGGCACCTGTCAGGTGGTACGCGACCATCCTAGCAGGGGAGAGGAATGAGCTGGATCGGCGGCAGCATCGCACAAGCCTGAGCAAGAGATGGCTGGAGCTGCAGGGCTGTCAGGGCTCAGCAGAAGCGCCAGGATCAGCCCCGGGCTCCAGCTGATCGGCGCTTCTTCAGGGCTCAGCAGAAGCACCAGGATTAGCATCGAATTCCAGCTCTTTCCTTCGTGGGGAAAGGGGCAGGAGAGGAGAGGAGGCTTCCATGTTCCTCAAAACTGGGGCCAAGCAAAGCAACGGGAACCGGAAGCTGCCAATCGCCTGGCTGACAGTGGCGGGCTGAGCTGCACTGCGTTGGAAGCGCAAGGCAGAGGCGCTCTGAAAATGGACCAGAAGGGAAATATGAAACCACCACCCCGAAAAAATTAAAAACCCACCTCCAGCCTTTTCCCCTCCTTTCTGAATGTGAGGATTTGATCCCGAGAAGCCGCCGCCAAAGCCTGGCCATCCGCTGAAGGAGCTTGGGAGGAGCAGAGCCCCGGGACCTTCACCCCTTGGGCTGCCTGGATTCGGGAATGGCTCCTGCAGCATAGAGACCTGTTCCCCAGGGCTTGCAGTGGCTCTTCCTAGTCGTCCTGATGGTCCCAAATTGGGCGAGGGGGGCAGCAAGATGAGGGGCGCCGCCTGCTATGGGGGCTTCGACCTGTACTTCATTTTGGACAAGTGGCCGGGCATCGCGGCGGCTGTGCGGGATGAGTCTGGGCTGCGCGGAGCACTTCGTTTCGGGAAGGGTTGCAGCAGCCCTGGCAGTTTTTCAAAATTCCGCAGCAGTTTTTTCCCTTTGCTTTGCGTGCCGAATTTGGACAAAAAACGCCTGACGGATGCCGTGTTCCTCTTTCCTCTGGAGAAGGTCGAAGGAAAAAGTTTGGCTCCTTTGCTGGTTTCTCTTTTTTGGAAAATTGCTTTTTTTGGTGGGGGGAGTTTAGCAAAGAGCAGCTGTCAGCTTTAACCTGTTTGGTTAGACTTACAAATGCCCATTTCCAAAGTAAATCCCTCACTCGGCTTCCCTCATGGGATGCAATTCCCGCAGAGCAGCCTTTAAGACAGGGGCGGGGAACCTTGGCTGTTTTATGACTTGTGGACTTCAACTCCCAGAATTCCTGAGCCAGCCATGCTGAGGGGAAAGGGAGAGGTTTCCAAGCTGAGCCATGCTGACTCAGGAATTCTGGGAGTTGAAATCCACAAGTCATAAAAGAGCCAAGGTTCCCCACCCCTGGTTTAAGATCTCTGAACTCCAATATTTCTTTGGGAAATATTAAACAGGCAGGAACAATGGGGAAAGAGGTAGAAAACCTAGCCCCAGAAACCAACTATTACAAATATGAAAGGCTGCTCCAAAAGAAACATCCATTTCCCTTCTCTTAGAAAAGTCAAGCAGAAAAATAAAAATACCAGAGGTTTCCCCCCCCCTTCCTCCCCCATGGGGCTCAGTTAAAGACCTCGGGCAGACAGCCAAGAAACATAAGCAAAAGAAATAATGTAGTTAAGGGCTAGCCTTGAACAAACCAAAAGAAAGCTTAGACACACAAAAACTTCATCAAGTTATTTCCTTCCCTGGGGATAGGATTAATCAATCCTGCTGACAGGAAAAAAAAAAACAAGCTAGGAAATTAAGAACAAACTTCTTACAAATCTCAAAACTTAAAATAGGAAAAAGCGTATATAAATTGTACCATGCATTTAGTATGTGTTTTTTACTAGCTAATCCAGAAGCATTGCTGAATCACTTCTCTGTCTGGCTTCTGTAAGAAAATCCACTTTCTGGCAGCTTGCTTCGCTCAGTGTCAAAAATATTTTTTTCTTCGTCCGTGCTGAAGGCTTATTCCCAGCTGGAGGAACAAACCTGAGAAATTTCTTTTCACAGCAGAAAATATGTTGTTGTGATGTGTCTTTTTAAATTTATTTTTACCTATTTCCCCCCTTAAGTCTGAGTCACTCACTGTCCCTTTAATGAAATGCACATTTTTTTTTTATTTTTTTGCTGCTTTTTCTGCAGCTGCAGGAATTCTATCCAGGGAGGAAATAAAATGCTTGCTCATGTTATTTGTCCTACAACTGACATGATGCATTGTGTTTGTGTAAGAGGTTTGGGGCTGTATTCTTAAATAATGAAGAATGAAACTGCTAGAGAGCCTTAACAGTGCCTGACATGTAAAAACAAAACCAAACAAAAGTTTTTGTAGAGGCCTGAGTTTCCAAAGAGCCACATTTTGCATAGCCCCAAGGCTGTGAAAAGATGATTTGGTAGGTGGATTTAATTATCTTTCTACCCAGCGCTGATCCTGGCACTTCTGCTGAGCCCGGACAGCCCTGCAGAAAGAAAGAAAGAAGGAAGGAAGGAAGGAAGGAAGGAAGGAAGGAAGGGACACCCTGCCCCCTCCGATGGTAACCACAATGTTAACGCGACCCTCAATGAAATTGAGTTTTACACCCGATAAAAAAAGGTTGTTAAGTGAGTCTGGTTTCACCATTGACTTTGCTTGTCAGAAGGTTGCAAAAGGGGATCACATGACCCTGGGACACTGTGACTGTCATAAATATGAATCAGTTGCCAAGCATCCGAATGTAAATCATTTGATCTTAGGGACGCTGAAACGGTCATAACTGTGAAAAATGGTCATAAGTCACTTTTTCGGTGCCACTGTAACTTCGAACACTCACTAAGTGAACTGTTGTAAGTCAAGGACTACCTGTACTTTTTATCACTTTTTTCCTTTTTTGGGGTCAGGTTTTTGACACCTTGCTAATTGACTGGTGCTATTTGGATATTGCCATATCCTAAAAGGGGTACAATGGATGAAAAGGTTGAAAAGCCCTGGTTTAATACTCAGAAAGTATTTTGCATAAGCATTTCAGGAGCTTCTCGTCATTCTGTCTCCTTTTTGTGCAAAATGAACTCTTCATCCTGAAACTTTCTTCACCCTCAAATTAATATCTATATGATTATTCTCTCACATCGTAAGAGGATTTTTGACCGAAAAAAGTTCCCTGCTTCTGCAGTCATACTGATCGACTTAAATTCAGTTTTTCACAGTGCACCTCCTTTATATTCCAGAGGAAGTTCACATTCTCATTTCTGCTATAGAGGAAGAAAGATTTAAAGTTTTGACTTGAACAGATGCATCAAGGAGATGCAGCTCCTTCTGCTTCTTGCAGAAGCCACACCTATCAAATGTCTTCCTGATCACATCACTCTTAGAGCAATCACTCTCCAGCTCAATACTGGAATACATTCTCAGCTGAGCCCCTTGTCCACACTGAATACACTGAGGTGGGGATTGTAAATCCAGTAGCATTAAGTATAAATTAGAGGCTCTGATGTTACACTGTCACCAGATGTTTCCTTTTTGAACATTCTTGTAATTTAGCACAATATCCCAAGACGTTTCCGGTTTCAACATCTTAGAATTCATTATATAACATCTACTGACAGCTATACAAAGCTTAGGTGCAAGACAATTGCTACTTAAACTGCTCTATTCATAAAGTATCTTCTTTAGCATCACATTTACTTTGTCATTTATATTTTACCTATAGCTTCTGCAAGTCTTTCCTGATTTATGCCTTTCCCATAGTATGCCTGAGATGATATTTTGTTAACTAAGCCCTATGTTTACTCTCCAAAAATAAATTTTATTGGAGATTTGCGCTTTATTATGATCCAATCGAAAATAGGATAAACATGAAGAAAAAAGATGTTCTCTTATTTATGTGAAATGGCATAACCTTCAAATGACAGTAGCTACAAAAATCCACTGCTCATGATTAAAACACCACATGCCTAGCATTTGGTTTCCATCTGTATATTCATCTCTCTTGGGTTTCACATTGTGTCGGTCAGCCTCAAAAAACCTCTTTCCTAATTCAGTAAATATAATTAGAAAATGCATATATTTCAACAACTAAGCATAACAATGAAACAGAATTATATGAAACATTCGGCCATTGGTCCCCTTGAAGTTTTTTTCTTATTTCACAGACTTACAGAGCTTCTACACTGTGTGGGTCCTTTTATGGTAGTTAAGATAACTGTTCAAAATAAAACATTTTCCACATTCCATGCATTTATAGGGCTTCTCCCTTGTGTGGATTCTTTTATGGGTGGTAAGATTACTGTTGGTACAAAAACTCTTTCCACATTCCACACATTTATAAAGCTTCTCCCCTGAGTGGATCTTTTTATGGGTGTAAAGAGAACTGTTCGTAGAAAAACTCTTTCCACATTCCACACATTTATAAGGCTTCTCCCCTGTATGGCTCCGGTAATGCAAAGTAAGAGAATAATTAGAAGCAAAGCTCTTTCCACATTCCACACATTTATAAGGCTTCTCCCCTGTATGGCTCCGGTAATGCAAAGTAAGAGAATAATTAAAAGCGAAGCTCTTTCCACATTCCATGCATTTATAAGGCTTCTCCCTTGTATGGATTCGGTAATGGGAAGTAAGAGAAGAACTAAAAGTGAAGCTCATTCCACACTCCATGCATTTATAGGGCTTCTCCCCTATGTGGATCTTTTTATGGATGGTAAGATAACCGTTGGTAGAAAAACTCTTTCCACATTCCATACATTTATAAGGCTTCTCCCTTGTATGGCTCCGGTAATGAGAAGTAAGATTCGAAGTAGAAGAGAAGCTCTTTCCACAGTCCATGCATTTATAAGGCTTCTCCCCTGTATGGACCCTTAAGTGGGAAGTAAGAGAAGAACTAGAAGTGAAGCTCTTTCCACAGTCCATGCATTTATAGGGCTTCTCCCCTGTGTGGATCTTTTTATGGGTGGTAAGATAACCGTTGGTAGAAAAACTCTTTCCACATTCCATGCATTCATAAGGCTTCTCGCCTGTATGGATCCTTCTATGTGACCTAAGATAACTTCTAAAAATAAAGCTCTTTCCACACTCCATGCATCTATAGGGCTTCTCGCCTGCGTGGGTCCTTTTTTGAGATGTACGGGACCCATTTTTATTAGGGAGAGACAAGGTCCGTTTGTAATTTTTCCCATTGTCTCTACATATGTAATCTTCTCCTTTGGTTTGAGTTCGGCAGTATTTATTTACATTTAATTTCTTTATGAATAACTTTATATGTTTTCCAATATATTTCTTTTTTATTTTCCCTTGTTGGACCACAGAGGCTTTAGTTGGTGCATGAACAGAAAATGAATTTTTCCGATTGCAGTTATTTGACTGGTTTCTCTCATGGCTTTCTACTTCCATTAGATCTGTGGCGTTCTTCCTATTGTAGCCACGAGTGATCATTTGGAGTAGTTCCCAGGAATCTTCATATTCCTCTCCATTACCTTCACAGGAAAATAAAAATAACTTTAGGGAAAAAGAGCAAAGCATAGGAAGTTTGAATATAATGAAAAAACAAACTGCTTCAATCTTGTCAGAGAAGCCCTTCAAGAATTTGATTTGGATTTTCTTGATTAAAATTTTGGAAGATAAATCTAGCTTTGTATGGCTAGGGCAAAACCATAGATTAAATATCAAATTCTCCAAAATTCAAACGAAAGGGGAAGGTTTGGTTTGCCTGATTTGAAATTGGAATTTGTAGTCTGCTATATAGTTTGGATAATAAACAGGAGTTATTTAGAATGAAGAGAATGGTTAATGATCTCTGGAGGGCCCGGGACAGAGGCTATTCCTCTGTCCTTGTTCTTTTGGACCTCTCAGCGGCTTTTGATACTGTAGACCACGGTATCATGCTGCGGCGTCTCGGTGGGTTAGGAGTGGGAGGCACCGTTATGCGGTGGTTCTCCTCCTTCCTCACCGACCGTACGCAGTCTGTATTGGCAGGGGGACA